TCTGGATGAAATTAATATGTTTTGTTTAGACATCTGAAAAACTGACTGAATGTAGATCTTGCTTTCTGTAAACCTAATATTGAGAAGTTATTAAGAGTAGGTTTCATGCATTGCTTAGGGAGCAAGTGTCATTATTTTATTGCCTCTTCCCACATACGAAAAGCCAAATGAAGCAGAATTAAAAACAAAAACCTGCCTTACAAAGAATAAGAACAAAAATCTGCCCTTTACATCGAGGCTCACTTTGGGAAACTTTAAAAAGTGAAGAATTTTCCAAATTACTTCTAGGCGGCTGAGGATAATGATGGTCATCTAAATCCAAAAAATGCAGATTAACCAGAAGAACAAAGAAAAAATAGGAAACCCAGGCCTGCAGCATAAATACAAGACAGAAAATGCTACAAACTTTAAATTAGGTGTAAGTAGAGAAATAAACACTAAACCCAGGCAGAGCTAATTCTCATGCTTCTGTGAAGAGCAAGACTGTAGGGAAAAGAGAAGAGAGGAACAGGTGAAGGGTCTACTATTGATGTAAAAAGGCTGCTAGAAAGAGAATGTCCACCTTAAATGTGAACCTATTAAAAAAGAATACTGGTATGTCAGTGCATGACTATACAAAAGGGACATGAAATTGTGTGTGATTCTCTCCCATTGCTTCTGGAAGAAAAAAATAAGAGGCATTCTCTGATTGATAAAGGAAAAAAGAATCAATGAGGGGAAAATTTAGGGTCTGCAAGACAAAAGAGAAACAAACAACACCAAAAATGGAGGACACACAACCTCTCTCTTACCACACACAAAAAGCCTCTATGAAAAAACAAATCAAGGGCCGGCCCAGTGGCGCACTGCTACAGTGCGCCTCTTGGGAATGCGGTGGCGCTCCCGCCGAGGGTTCGGATCCCACATACAGACCGGTTCCCGCCTCTTACCACACACAAAAAGCCTCTATGAAAAACAAATCAAGGGCCGGCCCGGTGGCGCACTGCTACAGTGCGCCTCTTGGGAATGCGGTGGCGCTCCCGCTGAGGGTTCGGATCCCACATACAGAACGGTTCCCGCTCACTGGCTGAGCGAGGTGCGGGTGTGACACCGAGGGTTGCGATCCCGTTGCTGGTCCCGGTCTGGTACGGGCACAACACTGAGGGTTGCAATCCGTTGCCAGACACGAAAAAAGACAAAAAGGAAAAAAAAAAAAAAAGAAAACAAATCAAATACAAACAAAATGAAGTCAGGCAAACAACCAGGGGGATTAAAATGGGATAAAGAAAGCAGTAAAAATGTTCAGACAGTATTACATTGACAGAAGAGGGTACTCTTGTAAACCACCCTAAATCCACAAAATAAACAGAAAACATCAGCCTAAATCTATACCAAGCTCTAAGAGGTTAAAAAGAATCAAAAATTTCAGCTGATGAAAATCTCCCCACCAAAAACAAAAGACGCAAGGCATATAAAAACTGTAGTAACACTCTAAACTGAATGAAATATTATCAAGTATTTGGAGATATGAAAAATGACCTTGAGAATCAGAAAACCAAAAAATGAAAGCAGAAATGAACAAAAATGGGAAGAAAAGAAAAGGTAACTGATTGCATGCAGGAAGAAAATAGAGGAACAAGACAGAATTGTCTGAAAAATAAATTATAAATTATAATTAAATAAATTATAAGATGCCCAATGAAGAATATTCTCAAACAATAATTTAATAAGAGGTATTAAAGAAAGTCAGACAAACAACCAAGGGAATTAAAATGAGATATAGGAAGAAGTAAAAATGATGAGAGAGAAAGAGGCTGAAATAGAAGAGAGGCCAAGAAGATTCAACATACACATAACTGGAGTTGATGAAGGAGGAAAACAAAATAGTGTTTCAACTCGTATTTAAAACTATAATCCAAGAAAATGTTTCAGAAATAAAGGAAGACCCGAATCTATATATTCAAAGTCCCACAGAATACCTGGAGAAATTGTCTTGGAACAGTCAACTCTGAAGCATACCCCAGTAAAAATATTAGACTTTAAGGATAAAGGGAAAAAAGTAAACAGGATCTCCAGAAAACCACCAAATAACCTATGAGAAAATAGAATTTAACTATTTTTTTTTTCACAATTCTAAAAGCTGAATACATTGAAACAGAGAGTAGAACTGTGGTTATCAATGGTGGGGAAGTGGGGGAAATGGGGAGATGTTGGTTAAAGGGTACAAAATTGCAACTAAGTAGGATGAATAAGTCTAGAGATCCAATGTACAGCATGATGACTATAGTTAATAATGCTGTGCTGTACACTGAAAATTTCCTAAGAGAGTAGATTTCAGGTGCTCTCACCACACACACACACACACACACACACACGTAACTATGTGAAGAGATGGATATGTTAATTCACTTGACTGTAGTAATTTCACCATGTATATATATATCAAAACATCATATTGTACACCTTAAATATACACAACTGAAAAGCAAGATGTAAGAGAGAAAAAAAGAGTATCATGTAAAGCAAAATAATGCTGATAGAAGAGCATTTTTAAGTTTAAGAAATGGTGATGAAGGATTTTATATCAAATCCAGTTGTCGTTCAAGTCTTAAGTTACAGAAAAACAACCTTAACTATGCAAGAACTTGGACAACATTATGCAAAGGAAGCCTTATTAAGGAATCTACTAGACACTGGGCTTGACCCTACTAAGAGATAACTAGGAAAACTACAGCAGCATTGGTGAGCTTTTAATATATTTAATTATAGTTCTAAGAGTAAAGTCAAAGTGAGGAAAAAGGATAGAACAATAATATATGAACATGATAATGTCTTATGTTATGACAAAGTAGAAATGATGTAACTAAAAATGGGAGAAGAAGGGAGAGGGAAAAGGAAAGTAGACTAAATTTATTGTATAGCCAATAGGTAAAAGCCAATGGATACTATTAAAAATTAATATGCTAGATAATAAAGGTTAATTAAAAAAACAGGGGCTAATGGCACTCAAATATTTTAAGTACAAAAGTAAACAACAGGACAAAGAAACTTTCCTAAATAACAAGTTTTTTTTTTTTGTCTTTTTTGTCTTTTTTTTCCCATGTCCGGCAACGGATCGCAACCCTCAGTGTTGCCCCCGTACC